GAGGATGAACCAAGTCAAAGCAGTTCGAAACTAAAAGAAAACATCTTCGCTGTAGGGTTGGCTAGTCAAGAAAAATTATTGTATACCTGGCGGACGAGGAGTGGGCTGACCGCCACCACCACATCTATTGCAAGTTTTCGGGCATTGATCCGTCATCAAAGCATAATAAAGCCCATTATTGCATAGATGGGCACGAGAGGGGCAATCTGATACTCCGGTTCGCGGATTTATCTTATCAACGCATGCTGCAGTTGGTAATTGAGTGTCAGAAAACTTTTTTTTCAAAGACAGACTACCTGGTGTTGTTGTCGCTACTGCTGCTGTTGTAGTGCTAGCTCCAGGAGCTGCTGTTGCCGGCGTAGTCGAAGCTGTGGGCACTACTATCTAGAATTCTAATAGTAAGGCTACAGTAATTTAATTTCTAAACGATAAAACGATAGTTTTTTTGGCTCATATGTCCATATCTCCGTTTGGAAATTTCAGGAGATTCTAAGAAGAAAGCGTGAAGTATACCCGAGTGTTTTCGCAGCAAATCTCTCCAAAAGCCGTCGTATTTATGCAAGTTGCAGAACTGGTAGGACACTTGCCGTCCATACATGCTAAAAAATGGTTCAATGGTGGCTCGGAATGAACGAAGAGAAGGAAAATAAAGGAGTAAGAAGATGGGCCCGCTGTCTTTTATTTGCATCTTCTAACTCTTTTTTTTCAAATTTATTGATGATAACAAAGCATTCAAAATTATGGCACATCTACGGTAGCCAACTATGAAGTCTTGCCTAGAGCATGCGCTGGTGTAAGGCAACATACAGTTTTGAAATGCACACGAAGGTCTGATTGTGTCATTAAAAAGAACTATCTCCTTTTAGGACGGTCTTTTCAGTGTTTCAAGTGAAGCGCGGCAAAGATTCTTGCTCCATAGATAAGCTGTAACTTTTTTTGACGACAATGAAGTTCTTAACATAATGACAATGCGATCTGAACAATGCGTTCACAGAACCCGCTTTTTTTCCAATGGATTTTCTCTAGCAAGCAAAGAATCGAGATTATAAATGATGTCCCAACATGGACTAACAACTGT